ACCTCATGTTAATCACCTTTCAGGGTCACCCTGAAGGGTACAGCCTGACCACTATTTTTGATCCTGATCTTCAGGACTGTGAGGAAACCAGAACTTTCTTTTGGGAGGGCTTTGTTTCCCTGTGTCCCCTAAAGCTGGGTGACAGGTTCACGCTGGCTTGCTAGCATTGCTGGAGGACAGAAGGAAGCTAAAGGATCCTCCTTCTCAAGGCAGACAGCTGGGGCAACAACCCATGTCTTGGAGTCCCGCTGATGGCTGAGCCACAGCACATAGTAGCGAGTTTGTCCACAGATTCTCCGTGTTTCAGGGTCTTTTAATCCAAATCCCTGAGGTTTGCCTGATATAATTTATCTTGTTACCACTGGTGAATCTGGAAAGGAAGTTATTATCTAGTTCATCTATCCTTTCATCCCATTTTTCGGTCTGTTTGCTGCAAACTGTGGAAGTTCCTTGAGCATGGATAAGCCCAGAGAAGGCTGCTTGTGAGCACGATTCAGCTCAGGTCAGTGTCCATCCCCTGTTCAAAGGAAAAGGGCAGACATCATCTCTCTGTCTGGTCTTTGTAGCTTGTCCCTGAAATCTTGTGTCTTGCACATTTGATGTGCTCCCAGTGACTCACCCTTGGAAATGCTTTGAGCTTGCCCCTGCTGCTGTGATTTCATATGTGCAAAAGGAAATTTCGAAAGATGTCATTATCTTCTGTGCCGGTCCTTGTTTTTCTGGAGATCTGAAACCATCTCTCGGATTGTTTTTAGAAGGTCTCCAAATACTGACCGCATATGGCCTGTCATCACCTATGAGGTACACAAAGACAAATATATATATATGTGTTGAGTGGAAAAAATGTCAGTCTCAAATGGCAACTGTTTTTGAAAACACTTGTCTCTGTTGCAAAGGCTTTCTGCATAAATTGAGTCGTGTACAGGGGTAGTTTCAGTATTTATTATGGGGTGTATATTGATCACCATAAAATCATGAAATGCAAAATACCTTTTGCAGTTTGCACTTGTATAGGTAGGAGGGCTTCATCTTATAGCTGGCTCATTGGCTTAGTAAGTTGTTGCCAATGTAAGTGAAATTTGAGTCTCTGTAACATACTGACTGTAGGTGGGAATGCCAATGCTCACTATCTGCTCCTGAGGGACTCTTCATGGGCATATACAGAAGGTGAGATGGATAGAGAGCCTCCCCTAACCTCCCCAAGGGATGCTTGGCTAAAAATGTAAATTTTTTCAGCAAGAACAAGAAGCAGAGTTAGGAGTATGGGAAGAGGGGAAGCCTGCATTGCCATTTTGCTCAGTCTCACATTCAAGTGGGCAGAACTGAAGGCAGCAAGCTCATTTTTATTAAAATGTATTGGTTGGGCAGCCAGGACTTCTCACTGGAGGTGAACAAGGCAGGGCGAAACAGGGGGATACGGGCAGATGGGTCTGCTGGTCCCCCCTTGCACTGGCAGTGGCTGCTTCCCTCTGGCCCCACAAGGGCACCCACCAGACCTGTCCTCTTCCAGCAGCAGGGTTGTGGAAAGCCTGCAGGTGAGCCCCACCAGGTTCAGGAGCACAGGAAGCTGCCGGAGGCAGCAGGGTGGGGGTGAGTATCGCTCCCTGGCGGGGGATGATGGGCAGCTGCCATCTGCTTTAGGCAGCTGCCAGTGTAGAATTCCCCACCCCTAGGCTGGGTGGTAGGGGTGGCAGGGTGCTCACTCATCCCCCAGGACAGGTGGGAAGTGAGGAGGTGGCAGCAAGCCAGGGCACCGTCACTCCATGGACCGGGATGCTTCTCAGCACTCACCGTGTTCAGGATAGCACACCGGGGCAAGGAGCCTGCTGCTTGCAGAGTGGCTTTGTCCCTACCAGGCTTGGTGGGGAAGCAAGTCACATGGGAGTACTTTTTTGCCAGTATCCTCTAGCAAAAATACACTTTTTTTCTCTTTGTTTTCCGGTCATGCAAGAGAGCCACAGAGATGATTTTCTGAATGACACACAAGAGCTTAACAGCACTGGTACAAGGTAAGAGGTTACGGAGGGGAATTCTGTGAATGCAAAACCCAGAGATGTCGTTATGGCATTGAAACCTGAACCTGGACATCCTTCAAGCTCTTCTTCCTCCTCCAAATCCCACTCCTAAGGCCACTGCTTTGCAGTCTTCCAGGTTCTCCAGGCCAGCAGTCTACAGGCTGCAAGCTATTATTTGGTGCAAAACAGGAGTTAGAAGCAGTATCTGTAAAAGCAAGCATTATCCTTAGGAGTTAGTGCTCTGGTTGTGTCAACAAAGCCAGGTAACACTCCTGGGCCAGCAATACTCCAAGGGAAAAAAAAAAAAAAAGAGATATATTTTCCTCTTGGTTATGACTGGCAGAAATTCAGAGTTTCTGTCCAGGAGCAGGGTTAAAGCAGGTCCTCTTGCCCATGGTTTGGCTTGGCAATTCTTTGGAGATGGACTGCTGTGCATCCTGGTGGTCTTCCCTTGCAGGTGTGGAAGGGCTGAAAGAGGAGGGGGACAGGGCTGCCAGGGAGAGATGGGAGGGTGCCAGGCTCTTTCTCCGTGCGAATCCTTCGAAGCCTATCCTAAGTAATCCCTGCTGAAGACCAGCTGCAGGGCCTTTCCATGTCTCCACAGGCTCTTGGACTTTGCTCTTCTCTTCTTCCTTGTTGCAGAGTGGTCATACAGTGTGTGGCTTTCCTGGCATTTCTCATCCAGCCTTCACAAGTGTGGTCATTTCTTTACGTAGCATTCACCGCTGTGGCTCATAATACTTTGACAGAAAAACCTGTTCTAACTGTTCACATGCCTGAACTCCCTATTCCTGCCATAAAATATTTCAGCTCAGGCCTTGCTGCAGAAGGTGTTGTTGACTCCTTTTACCTGTGAGTTACTACAGGTAAGTATAAATTTACCAGAATCACATCCCAGAGGCACATTACACCCTGAGGGGTGCTTCGGTTCGTTGTCCGAAGGGCCGACACAGTGGCATGATCCCCCTGCTTTTTTCCATACCGTGAACACCCCCTTCCCTACATCACCTTATGCTGGTGTTACTGTGTGCTGACATTTCTAGCCTTCAGGTTTTCCTCCCAGAATTTCTCTGCTTCTGCCTGTGCAGCGAGGTGAAAGTGCCTGCCCTGCCAGGTGAGGACAGCTTGCCTCATCTAATTCAAAGCTCCTTACTGAAGCAGGTTTTGATGTGCAAGGGGCAGCTGACTCAGAGTTAGGAGGGCAAGAATGAGGCGTTGAAATTCCTCCAGATGCAGAAGTCACCTCTGACCCAGCCATGGAGGGGAAGAAGAGAAATATCTACTTGCTACTGCCAGGGTAGGCTCCCTGCCAGCCCTGCTAAAGCCCCAGCTGTCCGTGGCTCAGCTGCCGGAACAGCTTCTCCCACTAAACTCTGTGCTCTTGTCTGCACTAGGCAGTCAATGCAAAAGTGTGATTTCAAATGGGTTTGACTAAGCTATCACTGATTTCCCACAAATGCAAGACTTCAGAAAAATCTATTTGTTTTTATGGGATTGCTGACAAACATACATGTAAGTTTGCATAGGGGAATTTCCAGCTCAGTGGGCTGCAAATGAGTACAGGAGTTCACCCAAACACTTAAGAAGTGTGCGAGGTATTGAAAATAAAATAGTCAATAACACATTTTATTTAATATGATTCATTACCACTGCATGCAGAGAATAGTATTAATTTTCATGCAGAAATCCATGAAAATCTTCACTTTTATATTTTCCTGAGGTGCATAGTTTCCAGACTGGTGTTACATGCAGACAAAGGGCCTTCCTTTGGAATTAGAATCTGCCCCTGGATTCGTAGGGGACTCACTCAGCTGCTCTATTGCATATTTCAGATGCAAACCGTATACAGGCATGGGGCTGAATAAACTTTAGAGGTTTTTACAAGACACTTAACAGAGACAGTATTGTAGTTATTGATTAAAAGAAAAGACAGTATTCTGATTACATGTACAGTACAGTGGCAAAGTGATTTTATACAGTAATACAGGGACTTTGGCTTAAATTTGAGGATATTTACTGCTTGTACAGTTGTGTGATAAATTATTGGCAAGTAGAAGCACAGATGGCTTTCCCTTAAGATCAGGCATCACATGTCACAAATTATCTGGGAAATTGTCATTTTAAAAATAACTCTGGAATAAGTGCCAAGCTGAGAGGGATATCAGTGTCTAATAAACAGATATAAACACAGCAGTGCCCAAAACTAAAATATATTTGAATTAAACTATGCAAAGAGAGCATAGGTATAACTAGTGCCTATTTTCTAGCAGCACAAATTAAAGCTTTTCACACTGTATTTCTTCTGTTTCTTTCTCATCAGGAAATTCAAATAATGTTTTTCATGCATATTTAAGCTGCCGTGGAGTTAATGGCATGAGTAGTCACGTTAGATTCTTATGTTACAGTTCCTAAAAACAAAACCTTACCAGAAGAAGCTTAGGCACAGTTACAGGCAGGCAATTTCTTTTTAATCTAGTTTTCAAGGTGCTGACATGTTTACCCCCTGAAGTGTCCAAGCTCCAGAGCAGCCATTGCTCCTGTTGTCTTCTCCAGTAACCACATGTGCTTCACACCGTACCTGGAAAGGTAGGATCCTGGAGCCTGCCAAAACGCAAGGGCAAAATTGCTTCCTGCATCTCATGGCCATGGCTGCTTGCTCCAAATAGAGAATTTGTTAGGCTTCAGCATGTGGCTGGGGCAACCCTTCACTCCCCGTTGGGAGGAAGGGAGATAAGGGAAGGGAGTGGATGGCCTTTGCTTATCTCTCCCCCTCCTCCTCAAGGGGTGAAGGCCGCCATGTGTGAGTGAGGAGAGCCAGGGCCTCTCCAGCCTCCCCCCCTTCCCCCGGCAGCCGTCACCTGTCCCAGCATATCCTCCTCTCAGGCGCATATATGGGCACGGCAGGACGGCATCTTGTGACGCAGTGCTGCTAAAAACAGCCCCGGCTCCCTCCGGCCCTCGCTTGAACATTGTCCTCTGGCCAGAGCAACCCAGAGAGACTCTGATCCCAGCACAGCCTTGGACTTATTTCAAGGGAAATTAACCCGGAAACCTCTCCACAAGGCTGTGGTCCCGAGCGTATGCCCCTGGAAAAGCTAGGGATGAGCACCTCCCTGAGCTATAAGTCCTTCTCCAAAGAGCAACAAACTATGGACAACCTGGAGAAACAGCTGATCTGCCCCATCTGCTTGGAGATGTTCACCAAGCCCGTAGTCATCCTGCCCTGCCAGCACAACCTCTGTCGGAAATGTGCCAGTGACATCTTCCAGGTAGGTTTCTTTCCACAGAGAGCTCTACTTCCCAAGCGGCACAGACTGGAATAAATGGGAAAGCAGGTTTTTTTACATGTTTTGGTTGATTGATTTTAACAGTTGGTGAGATGGGGGTGGGGGGGAGTGATTTAAAGCCAAAGTTGATGTCCCCAGAGACCAGAGCTGAGCTAACAGGAGGTGAAAGTGTCACCCATTTGCTGCGGGGACATGGCCAAGTGTGAGCTGAGGGACTGGCCTCTGACCAGTAGTCGCCAGGTGCTTTTCCAGGGGTGGTGTGTTGGAGCTGCCCTCTTACTGGGTGTAGTGACAAACAGTTTCCTACCATTTGGGGTGCTTTAGGAAGAGATTCTCATGATTTTTCATGGCCTTACCCTCCTCTCCTTGTGCTACTTGGCAAGAACAGGCCTCCAACCCCTACCTGCCGACCAGGGGAGGTACAACTGTGGCGTCGGGAGGCCGCTTCCGCTGTCCCTCCTGCAGGCACGAGGTGGTCCTGGACCGACATGGTGTCTATGGGCTGCAGAGAAACCTGCTGGTGGAGAACATCATCGACATCTACAAGCAGGAGTCCACAAGGTAATGAGGGAACTTGTGTCCTTCAGAGGGGGTTTGACACAAAAGCAGACATGGCTTAGGGGACTGGCCCTTTGGTCTTTCCATTTGGCATGCGTGAGGTTAATTTAGTTGTTTTCTCTCTTGGAAATGTGGAAAAGGATTGTGCTGCCATGCCTGCCTGTCTGTTTGCTGTGCAATGAAGTCAGCTCTCACTGAGCAGAGAAAACCAGATCTGAATAGGTGCTAAGCTTCCCTGAGCTTCCCTTGCAGCAGAACGCTGGGCTTATTCATACAAGCTTGCCAGTGCAGGCAAAGTCCTTCAGGTCAGCACAGCTACTCACATGAATAGGGGAAAAGTAGCTGATATCATTTATTGCAAAACCAGTGCAGACAATTCTTATTTTTCTTCAACCTGTGTGTTCTCATGCTAAAAAAGGGAAAGAATTTCCAATCTTATTAGAAAATCCTGACGGACAGACAGTGCAAACAAGGAGAAAGCTAAAATTCACATAGAAGGTCCACTGCATCATAATGTCAAATCAAAACTCATTAGTAAGAAGTCTCCATTCCTGCCAGCTTGGGATGTGAACTCATGAAATCGAGTCTTATTTAGGAGTCCACAAAAAAGAAGGAATAACAGAAATAATGTATATCAGAGCTGCTTGGATGTGTGCAAGGATCAAGACCTCAGGGCAGAGGAATGGCTTAATCCTAAAAAGTAAGGTTACTCCTGAATGATAATTTCCTGCATTGGATGTGTAAAGAATCCAGCAACGGGAAAATGTTTTCTCCTCTCCCTTTCCCTCAGATGGGTTGGATGCATGATACCACTGTGGAGATAGAAGGGGGGACAGTGGGAGAGAGATGATTCTCTCTCTCTACTCTGCTCTTATCCCCTCCTGGAATACTTGATCCAACTCTGTGATCCTTAGCACAAGAAAGGCCTGGACCTGGTGGAGTGAGTCCAGATGAGGGACCCAAAGATGATCAGAGGACTAGAGCACCTCTCCTCTGAAGATGGGTTGAGAGAGTTGAGGTTGTTCAACCTGGAGAAGAGAAGGCTCTGGGAAGATTTTAGAGCAGCCTTCCAGTACCCAAAGGGAGCAGAGAAGGACAGTCACCAGCAGAGAGAATGTTTTGGAGCCTGACAGTGTCTTTGACTATTCTCAGCTGTTTGAATCTCTCTGAGGACTGTTGTAGCTGGGCATAGGTTGGAGCTCCAAAGAGTTGGAGAGCACGAAGCTGGCTTAAAATTGTTCTTTCTGCTGCCCTTTGCGCTCAGTGCCAAGTGAGGGTCATCTAACCCTGTGTATGTCATTGATATCCAAATATTATTTTAGTTAGGAAAATCTTGGAAGAAATTAATCAGCAAAGCTACGATGATGGGCTTGGCTTTTGGCCAAATAAGCTGGACATGTGTGGCCTCATGTGTTCCTTAGTTTTACTTTATTTTTCAGCTCACACTTGTATTTAACTTAAAAAAAATAAAGAGAGACACCTCCTTTTCCCCGAGTAGTTCATGGGCAATTGGAACAAAGTTCAATTAAACAGAAATGTAAGAATAGATTTAGTAGATTTGTTAAAAATTCCACAGAAGTAAAACAAGTGATGAGTAAAAAGGGAGAATAGAAAAAAAAATATAAACACATATTTGCTTATGTATTTGTCCAAATGGTTCATTTATTTAATCCATTAAGGTGCTTATTTAACCTTCATATATGTCCTTAGAATGAAAGTTACTGTTAGGGTTACATAGCAGCAGCAGCATGAATAGCAGCAATTATCTAAAGCATTTGGCCCTTTGTGGGCCTCAGCTGCTTATCTCCCCCTGCCTAACATTCCTAGGGCTCCCCTGAGAGTGTGAGCAAGATCTGCCATGGCTTTACCCTGTGCTGTCCCACTGAAGCCAAGTCCAGGGAAAAGTCTTCTCCACTCCCCCCTTTTGTACCTGTCCCTTCCATGCTGATGATTGGGGTCTGGCAGAGGTACATAGACATAGGAAGAAGGATGAGATGTGATCTTTGCCTCCTTGTTTATTCCCAAGACAACCCTTCAAACTAGGAGCACCCATTATTTTCAGACAGGAACCCCTTCCCCTTGAGTCCTCCTGTGGGTATAATTCACTACAGCCACATGTACCAGAATGATGCCAGCTCCTGCCTGCATTTTGCATGAACTTAGGAGAGTGAGGGGAGTTCATTTGGATAACAAGCCTTTTCTCCTGCTTAGACAAAAATAGCTTATTTCAGAAGTTTTCTGGTGTTTGGGTTTGTTTGTTTGTATTGGGATTTCTATTTGAATTTATTTTTTTCTAAATAAAAGCTGGTGCAGGCACTGGGCTATGGGATTGGGAGGATCTGAGCCATCACATGCAGATCTACTAAATATCACATCAAATGGTCTTTTATCCCATTGCTCATCAAATTCCAGCTGATGGCAGCATAGCCTGTCGCCCAATTTAGAATGTATTAGCAACACAAGGGAAGAAATCTTCAAGCAGGTGGTGGCTCCTACAAAGCTTTAAAGCTTGAAAGTCTGTAGGCCACTGATCACCTGAACTATCTGAGGAACATCGATATGCCTGCTGCCACCAGAAAAGGGTAGCAACAGGAGGCTGTGGCTTTTTGTAAGATCTGGCAGCCTCTAATGAGCTCTGCTGGCTGTTCCACATCAAAGGTCCTGTGGGCTTTGTTACCAACTGAATCCTGATCAGGGAGAGTCAAGCACTCTTTCTGCCTTGCACCTACCAGGGAGAGCCCAAGGTACAGGCTGTCCTTGCAGCCCCAGAGTGTGCAGCAGGGACCAGGCGCTGTGCTGAGGGTCAGCCTGTGTGGGCTCTGTGAAGGCAGTGATGTGCTGTGGGGCTTGGCAGCCAGAACTGCCAGAGGCAGCTGTCCCTGACCCCTCCGAGGTCTTAGTCAGAGCTCCCATGGGAGGATGTGGCTCTCCAGGACAGGCTGCAGAAGTGTCTGGAGATCTCAGATAGGCTGGGCCTATCTGAGATAGGGAAATGAGCTCTCTGACCACAGGTCACCAAGAAAGGGAGTTGCAGGAGGAGCCCCACAGGCTGTGCAGTGAGAGAGATGAGGAGTGAGATCACGTGGATATTCTCCTACTCCCCACGGACACAAAGCCCCAAACTCAGCTGCACCAATAGTTTTCTTGGGCCAGGCATTCATGCTGCTACTATAACAGAGCTACAGGAATCCTTATGTTCATATGAAATTCTGTAGTCTTCTAATTTTTCAAGCCTCATTTCTACCCTGGGTATTGGTGGGCTTTTCACTGCTTTTGAGAGAGTCCATTGCTGTGGTTGATTTTCAAGGACCACCTCCTCCAAGGTCAAAAATGGTCTATCCCCATGTACATGAACTCAAGCAATGGTGACAGAGTATCTGCATTGATTAACCAGGAGCTCCTGATAAAAATAGAACATTGAAAAAGAAGCAAAAGGAAGTTGGACAGGTGATTCAGAAAGATTTTGAGACACTGTCTAAGCATGTACAGATGAAGTTAAAAAAGCCAAAGCCTGCCTGGAACTGAATCTGGCAAGGGACATGAAGGCTAACAAGAGCTTAATGAGGTACTTCAGCAGCAGAAGGAAGAATGGGAAAGGTATGAGTTCGCTGCCACATGGAGGAGCGTCTCATGTAACAAAAGAAAAAGGAAATGCCAAGGTGCTCAGTGTCATTTCCACCTCAAACTTTACTAAAAAATCAGTCTTCAGGAATCCCAGGACCCTGAAACCAGTGGGAAAGTCTAGAGCAAGGAAAATTTACCTTTGGTGGAGGAGGATAAGGTTAGGGAATATTAAAAAAAAATTGGAAATCCTGAGGGGAGACATCTATAAGTAGTGAGGGAGCTGACTAATGTTGCTGCAAGATCACTCTCAATAATCTTTGAAAGGCTGTGGTTATTGGGATAGTTTCCTGTGCATTGGACAGGACTGGAAGAGTACAAATGTTCCTCCAATCTTCAAGGAGTGCAAGTACTAGAATCTGGGGAACTACAGGCTGGTCATCTTCACACTGGTCCCTAGAAAGTATTTTCAAGGAAATCCTCCTGGAAACTCTTTTCAAATTTATAAGAGACAAGAATGTGATTAGAAATAGTCAGCATGGATTTATGAAGAGGAAATCAGCCCAACCAATCTTATAGCCTTTTATAGTGAGATGACTAACTCTGTGTGTGAGAGGATGTTGTTTATCTAGACTTTATACACTGTCTCCTTTGACATCTTTATTGACAAACTGTTGAAATAAGGTCTAGAGTGGACAGTGGAAAGTGAACTGGACAGTGGAAAGTGAACTGGTCTGAAAACTGCCTGTACTACAAGACTCAAAGGGTCATGCTGAGCAGTATGAAGTCAGGTGGAGACCAGTCATTAGTGCTGTATGCACCAGGTTGATACTGAAGCAAATACAGTTTAATAACTAATGACTTCACATAATGTGCCTCATACAGTCACGCAGATTCTCTCCATCCTCTGACCAGTTGCAGACATTAGGTGATGTGATGGTACAGGAAGGGCTACAGCTATTTTAGGATTCTCAGTAAAAACACTATCAAAGTTGGATTAAGGATTACAGGAGGGACCTTTTTGGATTTGAAAAAATCCTAGAAAACATGCCTTCTGACAAAGCAGCAGTTATGTTCTTAATTGAAGTGTGCTTCTTTATGTGCCCAGCAGCGGTGCATTTCCTCACCAAACCACAGTCACAGAATGGCTGAAATTGGAGGGGACCTCTCTCTGGAGGTCATCTGGTCCAAACAACCCCTGCTCAAGCAGGACCACCCAGAACTGGTTGCCCAGGACCATATCCAGATGGCTTACGAGAGTCTCCAAACATGGAGATGGAAACTCCACAGCCTTCCCAAGAAACTTGTCTCAGTGCTCAGTCTTTCTCACAGTAAAAAAGTGTTTCCTGATGTTCAGAAGGAACAGTTTCAGTTTGTGTTTTAGTTTGTGCCTGTTACCTCTAGTCCTGTCACTGGGCACCATCAGAAAGAGCCTGACTCTTTATTCAGGTATTTAGGGACCTCTTTACACTCTTTATTCAGGTATTTAGACACCCAAAGGTATTGGTAAGATCAAGGCCATTGTTAAGATTCCTCTTAACCTTTTCTCATCCAGGCTGAAAGTTTCAGCTCTCTCAGCTTTTCCTCACAGGAAAGCTGCTGTAGACCCTTCATCTTTAGGGCCCTTTGCTGGACTCTCTCCAGTATGTCAACATCTCTCAGGTACTGGGGAGTCCAGAACTGGACACATCCAAGTACTCCAAGTGTGGCCTTACTGGTGATTACTTACCTGAGAATCCTCCTCTTCATAAAAAGCACACAACACTCTGCTCACTAATGTCCAAACCAAGTTTTAATGGGAAAGAATAAACCTGCAGCAGTCTAACACAGGCTTTGCATCTCAAAGAGCAGAATCTGAGAATGAGACCACAAAGCTAACAGGACATTTCAGCAACCTGTCATTTCTTTGGTCACAATCACAGCTGTGGTGAAGCTTCTCTCTCACTAAAGCCATGCTGTCATTTTCCTATCAGTTGCTCTTTAATCTCCACTTTCAGAAGCAATCTCCATTTTAAATTTAGAGGTTGTGTTTTGGCCTTTGCTACACCAACATAGACCTAGAGGATCCCCTCTGAAGTCACTGAAGAATGTTGTGCTAAAAATCTCTCCTTTTGCATAGCCTAGGAAGGAGACAGTAAATGTGTTTATTTCTAGTCTTCTGACACTGTCTTCAGGGCCCCACTAGTTCAGGGAGTTCTGCCAGGTTTCTTCCAGCTCTCTGCGGCACCTTTGAAGGTTGTCTGCTTCTGGCTGAACTTGCCTGACACTGTCACCTTTTTGCTCTGTGCAATATGTCTTTCATGCAACTGGCACCACTCCAGTGTCCAATAAAATTCTAGTAGCTTCTGGCTCCGATCTTGTAAATATTTGCAGGAGGAGCCACTACTTCAGGCTTAATTAATCACTTTGAAATTCATTATGTTGCCCTCACACATAGGCCTTCCCACTGGTGCACTATAACGTGAATATATTAGGGGCTGTTGGCAGTCATCTGCAAACAATGGAAAGCATTTTTTATGGAGGAGACACACCTCTTTTGACTAGCATTGAAATGATGCTGGATTTGACAAAGTGCCTTATGTTAATGGAAATCTGACCCAAATAATACAGGCGTCCTTCAGAAGTGTTTGTCTTGTTTTATTCTGGTACATCATGTTATATTTCAGATTACAGATTTTCCTTATGATCCTTTTAAATCCAGGGCCCTCTTGGATTATTAAAAAAAAAAAAAGAAAAGAAAAAAAAAAGAATGTGTAAGACATTTTCTATCTTTCTTGATTTTTTTTTTCTAAACGCACCTAACTGATCACATTTCATTCCCTTCAGAAGAGAAAAATCTGTACTTTATCATTAAAAAATAAATACCAGGTCCAGTCTACCAAGCTGTATGGAAAAACTCTACCGTAAGATAATATAAAATAATGATTTTTCCATGCATTTTTAAGCTTTAATGGAACAACTGGTTGCCTTCTTGCTACAGAGCTCTGTAGAATGGCTTAAAAAAATGTTCCCATGTAATTCCACTAAATTCTATAGTTTAGGAAAACATTTTCTATCTAATGATGAAAAGATATATTTATATGTTACCATTGCTCCACTTGCTACATCTAAGTCATAGTTCCCCTTGTAAACAGTAGCAGAAGGGGATAATGGTTTATGCTGGAAATATTTAATATTGCCACAGTAAAAGTGTCAGCTTTTGGAAGCTTAAACACACAGACACACTTTCTCCATTAATCTACTTACCCTGTCTCCTGGTATCACATCATCACACACACATGTGCTTGACACAGATGTGCTCAGGGTGTTAAGCCTGAAGCATGGCCTCAGAAAAGCACCACCCTGCCCTCCTGAACCAAACCAGAGCTCTTACTCGCACTGGGAACATCAGCTAAATGGCTCATTTGAAGGAACCTGCAACTAAATTAGTTCCTAAAATAGCAACTTGTGTAAACTTGTGTGTATACAGTTTTGGGGAAGGGAAGATCAGGACGGAGCTATAATTTGGTGACAGTTCCTGGCTTAGCATTCATGTGTGACCCGAGCCCTTTGTGATGGGTACAATCAACTATCCTACTACTATGTTTGACACATGTATAAGCTAGATGTCGGTCACAAAATTAATTTGTGTGACACCTTTTTTTTGGTTGCTAACCTATATTAAAGGCTGAAAGGACCTAGTCCTGTCTGATCTTGAGAATCCTGACCAGTGCCTCACAAAGTTCATCAGCAGAGATATAGAGTTGAGGGCCTAAAGGTTCATCAAGATCTACAACTCTTGCTTCAAATGAGTCCCCTTTGTAAGAGCTTAGTTGCATTAAGGCCAAGTGCTCAACATTTTGCATGATGAACCAGAAAGCAATTAGGTATATTTTGATTTCAGACAGATGTTAGATAACATGCTAATTAAAGTACATGAGTAGTCTGAGATCAGGTTTAGTGAGATTGTTTAAATTTTTAAATATGAGCAAGGGTTTTGTCACACTCCGAGTCTCATTCCTCACTCATATGGGAATCCCATATTTGTCATATTGTCATCATATATTGTCATTCTATATTGTCATCATATCCTATTGGGTCAGGACTTGAACTGTACCACTATTTAGTCATCCCATAGAGCAGGTTTTAGTCTACGCTGCGTATTCAAGTCATCCTTGGATGCTGCTATTCGAATGTACTGTATTTCATGCTAATTTCGTAGGTGTTGTCATCAGAAACCCCTGAGCACTGCGTTTGTTTTAAACTTGTTTTCTTTTGCAGACCTGAAAGGAAATGTGACCAGCCAATGTGCGAAGAGCATGAAGATGAGAGAATTAATATCTATTGTTTGAACTGTGAAATGCCCACCTGCTCCTTGTGCAAAGTCTTTGGTGCCCACAAAGACTGTCAAGTTGCTCCTCTCACAAGTGTTTACCAGCAGCAGAAGGTAAATATCTTTGAGTATCTCATAGTCCTCCCTGCAACCGACAGGACCATCCACAGGAGAATATTCCTATGGTCTTCCTGTGAGATTCCAAAAGGGTCTGGGGGTGCCTTTGCCACTCTCGTGTGTGAGTGAAAGGCTCTTATAAATCTGCAGGAACTGTTTAGAGACACAGGAAAATAAATTTAGGAGAGATCACACAGAAAGATATTACATTGTCCCAATTTTTGTTATTATAGTGAGCAAACATTTTAGAGAGCAATTTGATGTGAAGCTGAGGATCTCTCTTTTGATGTTCCCAACACTTTTTTTTTCAGTGGTTTTAGATCAAACCAGTGAATGGTATTTCCAACATGTGAACTGGAAAGAGAACAGACCATTTCAAATCAAGTAGTTATCTATCAGGCACGTCTACATTTAAGTATTCCATTTTTAAGAAAAGTTAAGTGAAAAACCTCTTCCTGCAAGCGAATGCAGGAATATTCAATAGTTGGCAGCACAGGATGTACCTAACATCCTCTGCCCTTGCTGTCACCAGTAAAAGACTTGTTTATTTTTAATACAGTATTAATTTAAAACCTGACTCACTGGGTTATCCTCCTGAGATAAACAGCTCATTTTTCTGGAGGGCCTCAGTGGGGCAAGCAATCAGACAGGCCAAGTTTGCAATCCCAGCCTCCAACTTTGTCACACAGATGCGTGTGTGTAGAAACTACAAATGAGAAGTCACTTTAGGAAAGTAGTTACAAACATCCTTTTCAATCCAAATGGGTGGGAGAAGGGGGAGAAGTTTCTTGGACTGAATCCATGCCCCCAATCACTCCTTTTGCATGGGGATTTGCAAGCTGTAGTTTCATTCCCAGAGTGCCCGTGAGAAGGGCCTGTCATGCCCAAGATGGGAGGGGTAACCTGGAGGCTGCAGGATGTGTATTTCAAAGGATCCTTTACAAAGCTGTGGAGGCCATGTACACAGTTGTCTCTGCTACTACAGTGGTGTGCCAATGGCCTTTTGTCCTCTCCAGCACCTTCCCCAAGTTCCCTTAGGGACTAGCATCTCTGTCTCTCCTAAGGATACATCACAGTCCTCTTCATACCCACACTCAGGTCATTTCCTTCCTCCACTCATTTCCCTTGCACCAGTGGGTCAGTCTCCACCTTCTTCTCCTCCTTTTCTCCCTTCCCCTCTCACCACAGCTCTAACCCCACTGCTCACATGCCAAGGACTCAGTAACTCCTGGTCCCTCCAGGTCCAGGGATTACCTCTTCTCTCCAAGGCCAAGTGCTACAGTCCTCACGGAAACACCACAGTGGTGTGACTAGACCCAGACACTGAAAAAAAAAAACCCTTAAGAGACAAAGTCTTTTCCCTCTACAAACCCAAGGAAGTATTTGGGGTCTGTTGAAGCAACGCTTCAGACAAAAGTATCTTGAAGATTTTCTTAGAACAAAGTGCTTCCTCGTCTCCAGTTTCTTCTCCATTAAAAGTTCCGAAATGTTAATTTTTTCACAGTGTGTTGGGAGAGGAAACAAATGCCTAAGTACTAGCAGGTATCTTGTGAGCACATAAAGCTCCAATTTTCCTCAGTTCTGTTGGACAGACAAGTTAGTACCCTGGTATGGCTTATTGCTCCCCAATGTTACATGTGCCACTGTGAAGTGGGACAGTATCTAACACCCTGCTGCTTGTTCTTCCCTTACTGCCTAGTCCGAGCTGAGTGATGGCATCGCAGTCCTGGTGGGGAGCAACGACAGAATGCAAGGAATAGTCACACAGCTGGAGGAGACCTGCAAGTCGGTTGAGGTAGGTACCACCTCTTTAAATGCTACTATTTCAGTGTGAAGTCCCATCTTTTAAACTTCTGATAATGACCATTCTGTAACAGACCTCACTTTACCCAAATACATTCTCACATTGTGTTGCTAAACCATTACTTGTGGCTTTGTACATTATTAAGATGTACTGCCTGAACCAAAGGATACATCCTGCTCAGCACCTCTGACATTGGCCTTGTGATGGAGGATAAACAGTAAGGCTAGATCATATCAGCACATCTTGCTCAACATTCTTAGTGGAATAGGATATCACTGAAAAAGTGATATCCTAAAAGCAGATGCAGTAAAATACCATCAACTCCCAGCTCATTTAACAGTTCTAGAGCAATAAAAGACCAGTATTAGTCTGAAGCTTGACTGGTCCTGTGAACAGAGCCTTATTCTGTGCCAGAGAGTAGGAACAGCATGGCTCACAGGTATGTCTGAGCTCTGTATTTGGTTGCTTTGCCTTTTGCACAGAACTAGTGTTTTAATATACTTACATTGTCCTTTAAGGAGTCTTGTTTTATTGCTCATGGGAGGGAAGCGTTTAGGTTCTTACTGGACTTCCTGATAAAGTCCTCACTCTGAAGGAGCTGGAATTAGTTTTGTGTCTTTCAATAGCAGAAGTGGCTTTTGTTTCCTCTGAAAGCTTTGCATTAGCAAAGCAAATATAAATATCAACTTTGACCAATTTGAGCATCACAGAGCAATAGGCTGAAAGGAGCTCGTATGAATCGATTTTGTGGTCAGAGTTTGATGAAGCATCTAATGAAGGAGCCACATCCCTCTCAGCCCAATTAGAATTATATTGACCCTTTAAAGAACATAAAACCAATAGCCCAAGTAAATGATAGAGCACGTTAGTGGCAGTCAGAACTTCATAGTCAGGAAGGAGTCACATTGCAAGGATGAAACTGGCTGCTATTAGGACTTTGCAGACAGAAGCAAACCTTTCAAGTAGGTTAACTGCAGAAATTTGAATGATACAAAAACAAAAGCTTGCAGTCGTTTAAGTTGAACTAGTTGAACCAGAAACAAAGCTTCAAACATCTAGTCTGAAGTATGGAGAAAATATTGTGCTAAAAATACCTTAAGAAACACGACAGTGTCTGGAACGAGCTTCCTCAGAGCCAGCCTCTAAGTTTAAAGTCTAACCCTTAAAGTGAAACCCCAAAGAAAATGCAGCCATTTTACCTTCAGATGTTTTAGCAGGGTTTCCACCTTTAAAGCCAAAGATTGCACAAAATAGGTCTCAGAGTTTACCTTGGCACTTCTGTGTTGTATTTCAAGCAAATCACATTTACTGCCATACAAGAGTTTTGCCTGAATTGGCATCAGTTTGTCCTTGAAGATCAAAAGCTACAGCTGGAACCGAGAAATGTTCACACATGAAAATAATGCTTACAATTCAGGATTGTCTCTTCTCTCTGCTTAACACTTGGCAGAGAGCAATAAATATCTGCTTTAGCAGAAAATATATGATCATTTTCCTTTTAGATGGAGTAAGTAATAGCCTATAGTTCTATAGTTAGCTATTGCTCTTATCCAAACCTAAAAAAAACAGAAAAAAAAACCTAAAAAAATTGATCAATACTTGTATAGCTTTTAACTGATTGAAAGGTAGACCAAATCCATATATTACGCTGAAAACTGAGAAAAGAATATAAAATGCTAAAAGCTGGTAAACTATAATAAATAATTAAGTACTGTTTAGCCCTGTAAATGATATGAGTAAAATGAAGAAGGAAAAATTACAGTGTTTCTTTCAAATGCTAATAGGCCAGTCAGCAGAGATCCTTTGGAACAAACAGTGGGTCTCATGCTCAGTAGCGAGGACTCCTTTCTTTTTGCTGTAGCTGTGCTTTAAAAAATCAAAAAGGCTGGGAACTTTTTAGAATGGAGAGTCATGTATTTGTTAACCTTCCTCATTACACAGAATCTGATTAGGGTAATTCCGTCACAGAGAGACTTTGTATGGGAACATTTTATGCAGAAAGATAATATTTCAGAAATATTTCAGCATTTGCAGTTAAGAACCTGTTTTGCACTCTCACTCTTGAGATTCACAACTCTGTAATATCTGCTGGCAGGCAATATTATTATTAGAGGTTAGAGATAGGGAAGGATCTCACAGGGCATCCTGCTATCACTTGCTTGCTCTTCTTCCTCTAATACCTGTCCTGTGTCAAATGACAAAGGTAGCATACACGTGTCTTGAAATCAAGGTTGTTTTACAAGTGATCTGAATGACATTTCACAAGGAGAAAGCTAGGAGAGAGTGAAAGAAGAGAGGAAAATTATCTGAGGTCAAAACAATAGAATGACACCTAGGAACCATGACTCATTTGGCTTGAAAGCTTCCTTAACCCCACCCTACAATTGCATTAATTGGGCATTTCTGGGAAGTGGCAAGAACCTCTAGAAGGGCAGGAAAAGTCTGCACCCCCTGCAAGGAATTTTAAATCAGGAGTGCCTGTTTAGCCTAGCCTTTCTCATTGGGAAGCAGAGGTGGATACTTGGTTCAATGCAACAGGATGTTTATTCGCTCCCCACACCCCTGAAAGTAGACAGTGATTTTTGGCTAAATGTACATCTTTGAAAGTCTTTCTTCTTTGAACAATACTCAGTAGACTGTCACCACTCATAGAAATGAGCTCCGACTGAAAGGCAAGAAAAAAGTGGGATTCTCTCTGGCTAAGTGCTATGAATAATCAGTTTTATCTCTTCCAAAAGTACTGTGAGACTGTTAATAATCCTGTGCTACCAGGATCTTAGCATTATGCCTCTAGGGACAAAGATGAAGAATTGATTCAGCCTCAGTTCCTAGGAAAGAGATTTAAATAATCACCACCATCCACAACCAGGTATAACCACAATAAGATTATGCCCTGGGGCACACAGGTTTCTCAAGTACTTCTGTTTGGTAGACCTCAGACATTATACATAACCTGTCTCCCATTTCCTCCCCATAAATTCTCCCTTACAAATGCAGTTTTTTCTCTTTAGAGAGTGCTCAATGCAGCAGTCATCAACCCTATCCTCCTTACTCAGTGAAATATGCTGTTGTCTGCTTGGAAGGACAATAAAAGCGTCTTGAAAAACTATGTGAGAATCGGTGCCTGAGCTTAGGGTTGGAACCTGATTCCTCTTGTTTTTCTTTGTGCTTCTGTCACACACCATTTTCTTCCCAGAACCTTTACCTCTTTCAGTGCGCAGTAAATGGAATATAATGGACACCTATTGTCCAAACAGAGTCTAAGAGGGCATATGTGAAAATCAAGCCCAGCCACGATTTTTCCAGGCACTCTGGTAGAAAAATAAAATTCTCTAGAGCTGATTTGAGATGACTACTCCTTTTAAAACCATTCTGTTCACGCAAATGAATCTGCTACTAATAGAGTGAGAGCTTTAACTTTTTCTGCAGACTTTGATGTATCACTACAGACATCACAAATACCTTTCACATTTTTTAGCAGACTGACAAGTTATACAATAACCTGTTTGGGGGCTTTCTGTGGCTTGAAATTCAGACTTTGAGAACAGTTTTTGAACTTTTGTTCCAATAGCTTGGACTTTGAAAATTATAAAAGTCTCTGGGGTCATTCAGAATCCTTTGCACTGTTCAGAAAGAGGAATTTCTTTGATGAAAATGCTTCCAAGTAACTGTAAAAATAGAAACTCTTTTAAGAACATAACATGTTTAACATAAACCAAATGATTCACAGGAATGCTGCAGACGACAGAAAGAACAGTTGTGTGAAAAATTTGATTATCTCTACTCTGTACTGGAAGAAAGGAAGAATGAGATGACACAAATAATCACTAGAACCCAAGAGGAGAAACTGGAACACGTCCGCTCCCTGATGAAGAAGTATGCAGATCATTTGGAAGCTGTGTCAAAACTGGTTGAATCAGGAATCCAGTTCATGGAAGAACCAGAAATGGCCGTGTTTTTGCAGGTATAAAGTCTATAAATAGAGACACAACAAGAATGATAGGTTTATTGATAAGCTATTTAAGCATTTCTCAGTTTTAGTTATCTTTAAGTGAACATTTATACAAATTCATTTTGTGAACATTTGAATCAGCTCAGACAAATGACTAGTCTTCTTGTGAAAAGAATCCAAATCTAGAACATGAGTGTTTGCTATTTGCACCAAAATACACTATCCTGTGAATGAATTTCTTGTCCCCAAAGAAGAAACAGGAATTTAAACATTTTCCCACGAATTTTTATTTTCCCACCAATATCGTGGTGGGACAATATGTTCATTTGCACCATTATTTCTGTGGATTATAGGTTACATTTGCTTATTGACAAAGTGATTAATGTTTCAAGAATTAAGTATTTATGTTTTAAGTTACATTTTTATATGTTCATTTAACTTTTTTCTTCTGTTTTCTTACTATAAACTCAAGAGAGATGGGTAGGAAATCACTAGCAACCTGTCCACTGAATTCTTTGGTGTAGAATTTCTGTCTTGCAAGTTTACAATTCCTCTATATTAGAAGCTGTATGTTTTCTACAAAACAAAGCAAACAAACAAAAAAACCAAACCCCGAAACAAACAAACCCAAGCCCTGCTTCTTTTCTTTAAAGAATTGCCTTTGAAGAGTACAATAATCTTTGAATTTTGTCTCTCCAGAAGTATGCCCTTATGGATAGTCAAAGATACAGTTACTGTGACTAAAGATGGTAATGGAACAATTTCTTTTCACCACAAATACAAAAAAAAAAGAGGAAAAGTATTTCCATTTTGTTTCCTTTTAACAATTATACATATTTCCCATGATACTCAGATTTTAATTAAAAAGTCTTCAACTAACTAAAAGGTTTACTCATCTGTATACTAACTACCATCCAAATTTGATCTCATTCATTGATGTCATGGCTGTCATTAATGAGATCGGTATTAGTGCATTTAGAAGCAGCCAGTGCAAGAATTAGATCTCAATGCGTTGAATCTCTGAAAAAATGGAACCTTTTAAGAAGTTATTTCCTTTTTGTTTTCACAGAATGCCAAAACATTGCTACAAAAGTAAGTATTTAAACTTTAGACTCTTGTTCCTTATAATCAATTACAAATTATAAATTTATCTGCAAATCCAGATGGCAATAACCAATTTCTCTGGTTTAGAATTACTGAAGCTTCTAAAGGATTTCAAATGGAAAAAATAGAGGATGGGTATGAAATTATGAACCAATTCACAGTGAACCTCAGTAGAGAAGAAAAGATAATAAGAGAAATTGATTTTGACAGAGGTATGTAATTTATCTCACCAAAACTGCTTTCTTAAATTGCAGCTGTGTGTGATTTCCATAATGATACTGAGTAGGAAACCTTGAATTGGATATTTCTCTCCATCCTAAAATGTAACCAGAGCATTTTGTATCAATTATAATTAAGAGCAAAAATCCATTACAGTTAAAAAAACCCCACAAAACAAAACAAAACAAAACAAAACAAAACAAAAAAAACACCCACACATAACCTGTTGACCCCATTAAACTTATCTTGACTCAAAAGCAGCGGTTTGACCAAGTTTGACAGTCTGGCTTTAGGGATGTTGGTATTCCAAATATCCAATCATGTATTGCAAAGCACTGGCCTGGTAAAGACTTACTGTGACAAGTTCAACAGTGTTTAAAACAAACATGCACCTAGAATTGGAAGAGGGACTCTTTTCCTGGCAGATTGTGCCATATCCTCTCCCCAGAAAGTGCAGGGCCATGCTACACATCCCTCATGAGGATAACTGCATTGGCAGGTCTTTCTGTACTCCTTCAAGTGGAAAGGGCCAGTTTGAAGTTTTAACCAGCATGTGTGTTCAGTGTCTTCCCTGCCACAAAGCACCTGCTGGCAGCCCCTTGGCAGTGCCCAGTCCAGGATGGTGGAAGCAGGCTCCTCACCAGTACCTTCTCTGCCAGGCAGCAGATTATCAGTGGCTTTGCAATGCAATTGCAAGTGGCTTTTTAGTTACACGGAGACTGTAGCCATCTTCACATGGTGCTCAACCCTGTCTTTTTACACATGTCCTATCAGAGGAGGAGGGAGAAGAAGAAGAGGAGGGCACAGAGGATGGGGAAGGTTTGGATGAAGTCCACACAGAGTCATCTGGGCAGGAGGATGAGGAGGAAGAGGTGGAGGAGGAAGAGGCTGAGAGAGCATCACAGCCACCTCAGCAAGACCCTGAACTGCAGAGTGCAGCAGGAGAGCCCCTGGCTGAATCCACTCCAGTGTCGCTGCCTGCTGCTCCATCTGGTCAGGTGAGTGCCTCTGCTTCCCTGCCAGCTGTGCTGAGTGTGCATGGCAGAGCAAGAAAATGCTCCCCTGTGGCCTATAGGCACCATAGGTCAGGAGCAGGGCTAGGTGAGTCAGTGCACTGGAGAGCAAAATTGTCTACTGCCCTTGTACATATATATGCAGCTTTACCCTGTCCTCTCGACCTGCATAAATATATATATATAGGTATATATATGTATATATATATATAACTTGATAGGCAAAAAATTAGCTGCTAGATAAATTAAGATATATATGAGATACATAAGTTATAAATAAAAGAGATTCTCTTTGGGAGTTAAGTGCGTTACAATGGATGTTCTGCTGTGGTTTAACTCAGACTAACTCTTGTAAATGGGACGGTTGTTAAAATATTTATACTAAGAGAATTTGACACTCCCTCTGGATTTAGTGAGCTTTCCACTGTCAATTTTTAGATCATATTTTCTAGTCTGTTTTCTGTGAATGGTGTTTGCTGCCTTCTGCTCTGGTTATACTAGGAGTACGCCTAGGTGGATGCAGGAATATCATACACCAAACAGGAGAGGTAACTGCCTCTTACAACCTGGCAGCAAACAGGCTCAGGGTGTGAATATTTTAGGCCAGCACTTTTTCTTAGGGAATGTGATTAGAATGAGACCATTATTGCCACATATTCTAAAATATCTACATTATAAGTATACTTCATGTGCTACTTTAGCTTGCCTTGCATACAAATAACTTGGCAAATTCTCCTCTTATGCAATTTACCCGGTGAAGTTGCTGAGTGGTAGAGGCTGCTGTGAAGATATTTCAGGAGGCCAATGCGAAATCAAGAAAACACATAAAGGATCTTTGATTGTAGCAAGCCTCCCACATAAAATAAGGGAAAACAAATACTATAGATTCATTCTTGCTTTGATCTAAAAACATATGTGTGTTTTCACCAGTTGTGTGAAGATACTCTTAAATCAGGTTTTATTGATTTAACCAAAATTTGTCATTTGAGGATTTGCAGTGCCTTAACTAAACTTATGTTCCCTGACTGATGTAGGGTTTTATGCAAACAAGAAGCAGACATAAGCAATTCTGCCCACTAACATGAATTCTCTCACTTCTAAGTGCTAAAGGCTAAAATGAGAAAGGTACAGCATGCTGCTCTAGCAATTGTAAAATGCCATTAGGAGATGGTCAGGTGTGGAGTCAGACATGGCATGTGGGTGTTGTGGTGTGAGGGATCCCTATATTTCAGCTTTTGCCTTCTGATATAAGAAAGGAAAAGCAGAAATGCTGTGGGGACAGCAGGTAGTGTGTGGGGGAACCCCAAGATTTTGATGCAGATAGAGAGGTGCAGTTCAGATGACTGCTCCTCTTCCTGGCAGAGCAACTGTGCTTGGCTTATAGCATTGATGGCGAGGCTGGTGGGCAAATGTTTCTCTCCAGTGTCTTTGTATTCCCCTTATTCTGACTGCTCATATCATACTCATTGGTAAAGGTCTTGTTCTTAACACAAAACCCAATAAGCCATTTGAAAGTATCTACACCAGCCATGAATGGCCGGTATGACTTTATGAGGTACTTATGCAGAATTTCCTGTGTTTTTAGAATTGAATTGGACATTTATCTGAATTAAGGAACCTCTTACTCACTCCATTCTCAGTCAGCACCTCCCTCCCAACTAGTTCTACCCTCCTGTTCTATTTTTCTAATTTATTTTCTTTCCCTTATCTGTGTGATTCAAGTGGTAGTTGCTTTTGCTTTGCATTTTGATTGCAATTCTTTCAGACCATATATTAGGACAAATCTATGCCTTGCAGTGATACATAACAAACACAACACACAGAACAATATGACTACAGCAGGGAAGGTAACGTGGTGCACTCTGCTTGTTCTTCTCTTTATCTGTCCTGATAAAGGATGTGGTTGTGACACCAGGTGGTTCTCAGCAGACCCCAGAGTCTGACACTCAAATGCCGGCCACAGCAGAAACCGTGGATCCCTTGTTTTACCCTAGCTGGTATAAGTCTCAGTCACGGCAACCAAGCAGTCCAAGCTCAACCCCGGTGAGTGGGTTGGGGAAAGTAGGGACTCCTGTTTCTCTGGAAACAAGTGGAAAGAAGTCAGAAGCCCCAACAGCAGCAACAATCGAGGAGAGTGCACCAGAGAGTGGTAAGGAAAGTAATGCCACTGCAGCGACATCCAAGGTCAGTGCTTCCGATGTCACCACAGAGGGCTGTGACACACAGCAAGGCGGGAACGGCGGTTGTTAAGGAAAATGTGGCTTCATTTTCCTCTGCATGCTAAAGAATGAGAATACTTTAAAAAACACGTGAACAGCATAAACTGTCATTCCAGCAAGTCCACTGGATTTGTGGATGGTTTCAATATGTGACAGGCTGACTCTTGAGCTTCAGAGCAGCATGCTGATGGTTGCTTGTGCTTAGCTGCCAGTGCACCTCGCTTGTGAGAGCTGTTATCCAAGCTGCTCGCACACAGTGACTCAGGAGCTGTTGGAGAGGCTGGCAAGGTCTCTGTGCATCAGATATTTGCATGTGTTGGTAGCCGAGAAATCCTGTGCATGAGGTTACTGTCGTCACCTGTTGAAAGCCTGTGCACACATAATCCCACGGCGGCTGGGTGAGCAGCTACAGCCTGGCTTTGCCTCCCGCGGCTCTGTGGCTGCCCCTGGAGTGCACGGCTCCCCCATGTGAACACGAAGCTATGCAAACACCCAGAACCTTCTTGCGTGTTTGATTGCCTCTTAATAAGCAGTGTGATTTCCTGGGTTCAGACCTGTGTCTCTAAGGATTCCTGAGACTTGAATAAAGGAGATCATGAAGATAATGCATTCCAGTTCAGTGTTAGACTGTCAGCAGCAAGATGGGATGACAGAGACTGATGTGTGGGGTACAGCAGGGTGTTTTCTCTAAAATTACGATGTTAGAGTTGGTATAACCTGAATTTGAATATTCCTCCTTTTGCACATGTATACAAATTCGACATGGGCCAAAGGTACAAGGAACAAAGCTGAGGAAGCTGTGCAAGGATTTGTGGATTTGCACAGTACATCAGCTCCTGCTCCAGTGCCTGGTTACCAGCCCATGAGCAGCACTCTCTAAATCAAACCATCCCCATTTACAGGTTCAAACTGCATGTTTTAACAAAGCAGCTACCTATATGTGGTAGCAACAAGAGGTGATTGTGTGTGTGTGTGTGAGAAAGCACAAGTGAGTAGTATTTCATGCTGTTTCCTTTAAAGTTGGAGTTGACTATATAGCATGCATAAGCAGGCCTACCATGATAAACAATCATGTGCCTGGCAAAAAGTTAGGAGCAGGAGTTCAAAGACATATGATAAAAGGCGCTGGATACCTCTAAATTGCTTGCCATCACTGGACATCTTCTAGCCAGAGGTTTCAGTCAGTGACACTGGAATTTAGGGGCTGAAGGATTCTCACTGACTTCACTCACTTTCTTAACATAAGCACCATTTGACCACCAAATTTCAGTAGCTATTTTTCAAGTCAGAGTTTGATTTGAGAATCTTTGAGTGGAATTTATACGAAAATTATTTTCAAATTATCAAATCCGCTATGACCTTATCTTCTTAAGTATATTCCAAACAAACAAACAAAAGCAGATAAATCCACAGTGAAATTTATTGCTGCTGTTTCTTCCTTTCTGTTCTACTGAAGACCAGTCAGCCAGTCCTCACCATGGACAAGTAAAATCTGTACTAGAATAATTTTCTGGAAGTTTGCTTGACTGTGGTCTGCTTCCCTCAGTCCTAATTACAGCAAGCAAAGTAACAACACTTGCATTTGGTGTGGGCAGCTGAATGGAAAACAGCAGTAGTCCAGCACCTGGTTCTCTTCATTGTTGTGTACCAAGAGTGAAAACAGGCACATGGGAAAGATGTCAGTTCCCATTGGCATGTGTGTTTCAGGGTGCTGCATTTTGATATCTTCACAGACCACAGGTGACCCTGACATTTTGTGAGGAGGAGGAGGATGACAACAAGAATAGTGCATAGTTCAGGTGATCTGGGGAGGAAGGAGCAGCTGAAAAGGAGATTGCCCCTGGGCTGGGGACAGAAGGAGGGATAGGAAAGCACAGGAAGCAGAAAGGTGCAGGGTGTGCTCAAGAATAGAAAAACCAGAGTGACCAAGTGATGGTGATGCCCTGAGATGATGCTGTGGTCAGATTTATGGATCTGAGCTGAGATGTGTCTATGTCATGAAGAAAATGGCTGCTCTTGTGTGGCAGTGATCATTTTTAAGTATGTGAACTTCATATTTTTCCTGCATGTGGTTTTACACAACCCACTCTGAAATGCTGTATTCCTTTTTTTTATCTTAAACCCCCAGATGATGTTCTTCACACCACTGTTTTTACTCTCTTCCTCCAGTTAGGTATATAATGGAAAAGCGCTGTGGAAACAGAGCTTTTTCACTGAACGTAGTGATAATGACTAGTTTGTGTCATGACAACACTGGTGAAGCACTCTTCTTATTTTCTCACAGGAGTTAGCATTCTGCATAACACTTTTGGCATTTCTTATCATACTACATCATCTTTGGAATCTGATTCAATACATTTGTACTTTCATGGGTAGGAAATATTTCATTTTACCATTAACTAACAGTTCAAATAGTGTATCTGGTGATGTTCTTACATGGCTTTAAAGGATTTTTCCCTTTCTTCCCATCCAAAAAATATCATGCTAGTTCACAATACAAGCTGCCTAAAACATTTCTTCCTCGCTCCTTTAAAATGCCACCCTTCAGCTTACTCCTGCATGGTTAAACACTGCATCTCCCTCGTTCAAAATAAGAAAAGAGACATTTACGCCCTCAGATATATGGGCTTATATTTCAGTTGCTGTTCAGGTGACCAGCAGGATGGAGAAACTGTTGGTTGAAAGATGCGAAGAGCACCAACCTTGTTCAGTCTGACGAATAGGGGAGAAAGAGATAGAGATTAATGGTTGTCATCAGAGAGGTAAAGGTCAGGAAAAACAAATCCACTGAATAATCCTGCTGCCAGGATTCCCACTGCAAGCAAATCACTGATGCTACCTCAGGGGATGGCTCGAGCCCTGGTCTCTACAGGTCCCCATGGAGAGAGTGGAGAGTCCCCTCATACCCCATCTCATACAGCACACCCCACATCCTCTTCAGGTCCCTTTTCCAGCAAAGGCTTTCAAAGTTCTCTCTGCATGGAGTAGCAATCACAACCCTGAAATGGAGCCCCATCCATCTGCAAGGATCCCAACCCGTTTAGACAAAGGCACTTTTTTCCCTTAGGCTACATTACACAAAGAGCTGAAAAAAACTGCAAGATCAAGGACTAAGAATTTCACTACCAAGTGAAGTTGTCCCAAATGCAAACATTGTAATTTAAACCTTAATTATTCCATAGCATCTCTTCTGGATTAGCCCCTTTTTCTGGTAGACATTGTCCGTCCAAATTCACACCCTTCTTAGGTAAGGCATATGAATGCACTCAATTTCCAAACTGGTATGAATGATCTGCAGAGAAGTCTGTGTTACCATTTGGGCGTTTAATTATATTTACTGAAGACCAAAGACCTCTGACAGAAATAACAGTAGTTACCTGTGAGTATGTGCTCTAATGACAGATAGATTCAATTTTTATGTATTCTTCATCACAAAAATGCTTGGTGTTCCCTGCTCACTTTCTACACTGTGTTCCAAGCACTGGGCATTATGTGGTTCATCTATGAAAATTGATTATTATTCAACTTTTATGTGCAAAATTCCCAGCATTATGAGTGAAAAATATATCTCTTCATAAAAAAAAAAAAAAAGAATAAAGGAAAGTGGAGAATCTATCACCTACACTTTAGTTGCATAAGTTATGCAAAAAGATGCACTGTCTGGCAGTAATTTGAATTTGAAAAGCATCAGACACTGTGAATCTCAATTAAATTTATAGATCATAGTTTAATTTTCATTTCTTTGTGTTTGGATTTGAAAATTTGTTGTATTATTACAAGAGGACATAGAGTTTGTTTGCACTCCTGGGAAATCAGGCATGCGAATAGCATCATGCTCTTTTTTCCCCCTCTTTCTTTCCTCAATTCAAAATACCTTTTGAAATTAAAAATAGATAAATGCAAAAAGCTCTCATTTCTACCATTGAGACCTCTTCCTCTGTGGTCTCCAGTGGCATCTTTATGATTTATTTAATAATGGAATAGAAAGGAGGTGAAGGAAAAAGGCATTTTGGTCTCAGATTCTATTTGCATAAAATTGATTTTCTTGTCCATGTATAGTGAGGTGGCTGTTTAGACAGTTTATGTGTCTTTATCTTTCATGTGAGAGATCAGGTCCCAACCCTTGTTCCTTTGTGTGATAAGCCCCTGAAAGTCCAATAACAAAATTACTTTGAATAGCTGTAATAATAATTTATAATAATAATATAAATCTGAATGACTGTCATCATAAGACCAACATATAATTTATTTTCAACCTATTTTAGTAGAATTCACGGGAGGGATTTCCTTGTTTTTCAGCAGCAAAGAGAGATCAGCCCCCCTATTAAATTCCCAACATTCACTTTTTATTTAACGGTTGTTTCTCTAAGAAATTGCATTGATGCATCTATAAATTTCCTCCAGGGTACAGGAGGGTATATCAGCAGGGATAAGGCAACAGGAGTTGCAGCTCACAGGTGTACAGATTGTTTGGTCTTAGAAGGGACAGAAGGAGATGATTCAGCACAAACAAAATAGATGGCTCTGCACTAGAGAGCCGCATCCTGCTTCAGGGAGTGCCTAAGTCAGAAGTGTAGTCACCACGGGCTGCTCCTGCCTCTGACAGAGAGTGAGAGGCATCTCCAGTTGACAGGAGAGTTCACCAACTGCTACTGGCTCACACTTGGCACCTCTTCAGTCTGCCTGCTGAGTGTGAGGTGACATTGCTCCTGATCAGGTGCCTCTGCTCAGTGTCTGAAGTTGGGGGGGGTCTGAGCCCCTGTGTAAATGATTAAAACTTAGGGAGCAGGAACAGCATCAATGAACTGCTTTGCCACTACGGGATGTAGTGTGAGGGTGGGTGGAGGCTGATATAAACATTATGAGGCAGCCCTTTCCAGTGCATGAGAGAAACAGGTCTTGGAGTCCTGCAATTTTCCCTAATCATATTTTGTAGGCAACATCTCTCATGTAGTAACGCCATAT